AATATTAATTTTTAAATAAATTATTTTAAAAATATTAAAATTATTATAAATAATTTTAATTATTAAATAAAATTGCAAGCAAATTTGCCTGCAAATCGTTTGAAGGAATAATAAAGATAATAAAAATGTTAATTATATATAATTATATTCAGCTTTAGATAAACTATCATTATTAACTAGTATGTAAAATCCATATGTACAATTAATTAATAAAAATAGATAAATTATATATAAAAATGAATAAATTATTTATAAAAATGGAAATATTATATAATACATGCATTAATTTTCTATTTTTAGTATAATTTATGTACATGATTTTTGGTTTAAATTTTATATACTATTGCTAATTCAATTGTTTATCTTAGATAACAAATTTTTATTCAAAATTTAAAGATTAATTATGTAAATTTTTTGGATTTTTATAATCTATAAGATTTACTTTTATTATTTCATTAAAAATATTATTTTTTTTTATTTATCTGATATTTTACAAAATTATCCTTTCTAATTATACTTATCTTAATAATATTTTTATAACTTTATTTTTGATTAAACTTACAATCTTATTTAAAAATTAAATGTAAAGTAATTATTGCAAAAAAATAATCCTTAAAAATAACAAAATTTGCTAAGCAATAAAGTTTGTATTTAATAATATCAAATTTTTTTTTAACAGTTTTCTGTTATTTCTTTTATTTTTATAAAATTCTATAGATTATAATTATTATTAAATTATTTTAACTTTTTCTTGATAATAATGATTGCTCTATTAATCATTGTAATCAAATCAGACAAAACAAATGATTAGTCTGTAAAAGTTAAATTTATATTATATTCTCAAAAAAAATTTATTGATATACAAATTTTTACATCTAATAGATATATATAAAAAATATATATTTATTAGGAAAAAAAAAAAAAGAAGGTTGGAAAAATACAAATTTGTTTTTCACTGAAATTAATAAATACTATATTTATTCCTATTAAAAAAAAAAGATGATTTTAAATTTTTATTTTTGTTTTGATGTAGGTTGTGCAAATACTTCTCCTAATGATGGTGGCATATGTGAACGTTGAGTTGATGACGTTATTGTTGACGCAGGTTTCTTTTGTTCTGCAGTTGTCAATTTTATATCGTCAGATTGTTCTGATATTGATTCTGCTGTATTTGATGGAGCATGTTGTAATGCTATTTGCTTAAGTCTTTTCGCCGCTTCAGGTCCACTATTATTTACCAATTGATAGAAAAATCCTTCTGGATTATTTAATAAATTTATTGGTTTATCAAATTCTACTACCCTTCCTTCGCTTAAACATAAAATTCTATCAGCTTCCATAATTGTATTCTATAATAAAATAATAAAAATCAATAAACTATTCAATTTAATTTATATATTATAAAAATTTCATTAATAAACTTACCAATCTATGAGCTATTGTTAATACTGTATGTCCTGCAAAATTTTTTTTTATGGTCTCTTGAATAAGTACGTCAGTTTGTAAATCGACAGCACTAGTTGCTTCATCCAACACTAATATATTAGCTTTTTTTAATAAGGCTCTCGCAATACAAAATAGTTGTCTCTGTCCAAGTGAAAAGTTTTTCCCATTTTCTAACACTTGTGTTTTTAATTTTGACGTCATTGATTTAACTTTATCAAATAAATGAACCGCTTTAAGAGCATCCCATATTTCTTCATCTGTACATTGTTCAAATGGATCTAAATTTGATCGAATTGTTCCAACAAATATTACCGGTTCTTTATTAAAATATTAATAAAGAAAAGTGTTACGGATCAGCAATAAATTAAATAGATGTTTTAAAAGAATTTAATTTATATTATTATTACCTTGTGGAATAATGGCAATCTTATTACGGAGATCGCGTAATCCAATTGTACTTATGTCCAAATTATCAATAAATATTTGCCCCTCAGCTAATTCAACAATTCTTAATAAACTTACAAGTAATGTTGATTTGCCTTTTTAAAATAAATCCCGTTAGAAAAGATATAAAAATTTTTGATTATAAAAATAAAAAATACAAACCAGAACCGGTCTTGCCAACGATACCAATCTTTTCACGAGATTTAATATGGAATGAAATATCCTTGAGAACAGCAACACCGTATAAGTTATAACGAAGTATAACGTTTCTGAATTCAATCTAATTAATAATAAATAAAAATTTAATACCAATATATAATGATATTTAACGCTATAAACTAAGAGAAGCACTCACTTCACCGCGTTCGCCCCAATTTGTTGGCGGTCGATTTCTTTCAATAATATTTGGAGCCTAGAAAAAAAGCTTATTTTTATAATATGTTTATTTTAAATTACCATTAGTTTAACAATTTAAGTATATTACCTCGGAAGGTATATTTTGTCGATAATAAAGTAATTGTTGAACGCTTTCCATAATTGAAGCTACATCTCGACCAGATCGTATCATCCATTGGACGAAGATAGGTAATTGCAATGCATTCGCAATAGCTAAACCCATTTTACTTGGATTATCTGGGAAAGTAACAATAAAGAGAGCAGTTGCAAAGATGAAGATTGATGCCAATATGTCAATGTATAATGCTTGCCAGGCTTTTACTAATATATATGTATATATAAAGCATTAATATCTGTTGAAGGAAAATTTCGTTTTCCCAAAGTAATTAAAGTTGGTTTTTTCTTTTTTACCTTGCATCATGGCAAATAAAGCTTTGTTATTCGTATCAATTTTTTCGATATTATTAATATCGAATCTATGTTGTGCATTATATACTCGTATGCTGGCAAGTCCTTCGAGTGTTGCTGACAAATGAGTGAAGATTGGAGCTTTGGTATCCGCTAAACAAATTATATCATAAAAATTACTAAGTATTACAACACCTTTAGAAAGATATATTTTTGCTTACCATCCAAATGTTGAAATCTTTCTTCAACATCTTTTGAAACACGAATGATAAGCCATATAAAAAATGTCAATATAACCGCTATAATTCCTGTCCATGGAATTAGAATTATTACAAAAATGGTAGTCCCAAGAATTAAAGGAAGAATTGACAAAAACTAAATAATAAATAATTTACATATAAAACAAGGATTAATTAATTCAAAAGGATCAAGAATGAAATCTCATAGTGGGACCTACCTGTAATGCATTGTCACTTAACGCATCATCAACTAGATATTGATGTTTGGCGAACACATTTAATATTCTTCCAAGAGGTGTGATATCGAAATATGACATTGGAGCGCGCATTATTTTCTAAAGCAAAAAATCAAAAATTCAAGTAAATAATTTATTCGTTCCTAGTTAAATTTAAATTTTTTTTTTTTAAAAAAAAAAAAAATTTGTAAGACTTACTATAAACGTTTGATCATGCAAATATTGACTCTTACGCATCATGATCCATGCGTAAAACACACCACGTGCAAATACCCCTATGAGAACTGCACCCTGTAGAATCGTTTATTCCCAATTAACATCAAGTCAAACTTTTAAAAAATAATGATTAAAATAAACTGTAAACATTACAACAAAGCCGCCGTATATTCCTAATTGAGTCTCGTAATCACCATTATTTTTGGGATTCGAAACAAAATTTGTGAGCCACCAATCTAAATTTCATTAAGCAAAGTATGTGTATAATTCCGTAGATACGTCAAAGTTTCATCCAACGTTTTTCAGTAAACTTACCACTTATAAATCTGACAGTAGCCATGAAAAAGAAGAGTATAATCATAAAAAATGTCAAACCAAAGCCAGTTGACTTTCGAAAATAGTCTAAATATACACGAAAACCAACTTTGGATTCTTTTCTTCTAGATCTTGGTTCAGAATCAATCATAGGCGTTATTATCTCGCGGTCATTTAAACTATGAATTGTCAATTGATTTCTTTCAACAGCTTTTGCTGTAACATTTAATTCACGATTGACTTGTGTACCCATCATTCTCGTTTTACCAGCTCCTCCAAGTATTGTTATATTATTTCTTTCTATCATCTTTGAAATTGTTTGCTCATTAATACTTGCTTGTATTGTATGAGAATTGATTTCTGCAATACGATTGATTGTAGCTTCGTTCGCCTCCGATTTTGAATGTGTACGAGTGAATGGAAGTGGAAATTCGAGATTTGTAGCATTTTTGGATTCAGTTACATAAATAGAATCCAATTGAGGCTCATCAAGTTCGTCTATAACTGGTTCTAAGCGAATTTCATTAATGAGTTCATCAATCTGATCCGGATCTTCAATTTCCATGTATTCGCCAATTAAAGATGCAAGATTCACATCTTTGGTGGTTAATTCTTCATAAGTCCCTTCTTCGAGACATTGCCCACCTTTCATAACCATAATATGATCACATTCAGAAAGATACTGTAATTAAAATGCAATGACTGTTAAAAGAAAATTTTTAATAACTTTATAATCTCTTAATTATATCATTACCTGCAATTGATTTGTTACAAATATGACAGCTTTGTTCTAAAAAAGAAACATACGAATATAGTAAGATCATGGTCCATAGTTAAAATTCAAGTTAACTTAATTAACTATACCTTGAGGTATTTACGAATACATTCGTGGAATATATGTTTTCCGACTACAGGATCCATAACACTTTATATTTCGATAAAAATGTGTTAGTATAAATATAAAAATGAAAAGAAAAAAAATAAATTAAGCGATTTCAAACCTAAGTGGATCATCCAACAATACGATGTCAGCATCACTATATACAGCTCTTGCCAAACTGACCCTTTGTCTCTGACCTAAACTTAAATTGACACCTCTATCACCAATTTCAGTCATATCACCATAACTTAATAAACCCAGATCTCTGTTAAGCGCACAAATATGAATGATATCTTGGTATTTCTTGGAATCATAAACGTTACCAAAAAGAATGTTTTCCTTCAGTGTATCATTTAATAACCAAGCGTCATGAGGAACATAAGAAATTGAGCCACGAATTTTACAAATTCCATTATCCTTGCGAAGTCGACCTAAAATTGCACTCAAAATTGATGATTTTCCAGCTCCAACATCACCAACGATAGCAAGTACTTCCCCTTGTTTCACTTTCATATTTAAGAATTTCAAAGGGGCATCTCCTTCATAACTAAAATCAGCATCATGAATAAGCACTCTAATCGATGGATCATCATCTATTGGATCTTCCTCCTGTTTCAAAGGTGCTAATTCCGGCTTCTTTAAGAATTCATCCAACTTCTCAAAAGAATCCAATGCACCTGTAAGAATAAATAAGTGAATATTAATTTCAAGTCCAAAGATTACTCGTATGAATTAATACTTTTTCGAAATTACCCAAAGTCGTTCTAACAGCAATAGGAAGCATTATAAGAGGATATCTGATAAAGGAAAAGAAATTTATATTTACATTTTAAATTTAATAAAATAATGACGACGATACATACGGCATGTGAACTCACCTTACAGTATATAATAGAGCCAATACTGTAAATAATGTGCTCGCTTTAAGAACATAATTGTCATCAACAGTATCGGATGACAAAACCTTGACACATAAACATCCCAACATAGCTAAAACAGGTGCGCCAAATACAACACAAAAAGTCCACACCTTCACAACAATTCCAATCAACAGTTGTGTCCATTCTACCTGACGTACTTTACGAACACGTTCACGGAAATACGATTCCCATGCATAAAATTTAATTAATTTTATGGCGGTAAGAATTTCAGACATGAGATGGATACGTGAAGATGTGATACTTGTAGTTGAATAGGATATGCTGGAGGTAAGTCTACCAAGTTTATATTGTATAGGAAAAAGAATAAGAAGGATAAATAGAGCTACATAATTTGGAGATCAAACGATAATTAATAATCGTACAATTAAAAAAAAAATTGTACAAAATGCTCTTTAATACATACCTGGTAAACCAGCAATACCAAGCTGTACTAAAGTCAAAGTAATAACAGCTGCATAAATCAAGAGAATTATTATCTACGATATCAAATGCATTAAAAATGTTCAAAATTTAATTAAATACCTATTATTTCTACAGCGGAACTCCATAGAAAATGAAAATTTACACAAGATTCTGCCACCCTAAATAACATTGTCAGGTAATTCATATAGATTAAAATTTTTTTTTGAAAATTAGGGTAAGTATCCGAAATAATATAGGTACCTGTTACAGTCACCTGCAACCAAATCGACTAAAAATAAGGTTCACATATTAGCAGAATGTCATTTTGGTCATTGCAAAACGCAATTATATTTCAACATACCAATATCACGAGTTCCGCCATGAAGTGAGCTCAGGCGCAATGATTTTCGATAGATCAATACCATTAATGCAGCACGAACCTAAATGCGCCATAAAATTAGTATTTAGAAACGCCACTGCGAGACAGATATATATTATATAAATATAAAAATACCTGAACTCCAATCCTAGTAGATTCGGCAATCAGCTGATTTATAAATATGGAACTAAATAATGCACACAGGAATAACCCTAAGGCATACATATACGCTTTTAAAAGAGAAATATTTGAATTTGGCTCTACATAAACAATTAATTGATTGACCAGATAATATGAACCCAAGAAAATGAAAAATGCTCCGAAAAGTTTGTATAAACCAAGGAATGCATAATAAGTGCCAAATGATTTGACAAGTGCCCGACGAATTGAAGGTTTACTTTGATTACGACAAAGTTTGAAATAATGATAAATTAGTAATTAAACGATAATTGAGAGTTAACTGAACATATATTTACGATGTTATTAATGAGTATTTTTATTTGATTTTCTCATTACATGAAATTAAAAAAAAAAATATGGAATTAATTATAATATGCTACCTATTTTTTTCACACTCTAAATTCCAAAACTTTTCCAATCTATCACCAACTACCTTAGCCGTTTCGGAATTTTGTAAGGTCAAATTTTCACTTGACAAATTATGTTTTCGGTATATATTCAAAACATGGAATATCCATAGAAACAACCATGACGAAATAAAGTTGAGCCGGTTACCACCATGTATTACTACATTAGGCCGATTAGAAGACCTTGAAACATTGGCAGGTGGCATCGGTGACTTTTTTTCAGGCTGACTTAAAATTTAGATCGTGGTTTCCTATTAATTTGAAAGAGAAAAAAGAGAATTTTTTCATCCTACTTAATGAAGAAATAATGCTAATTAAGGGTATGCAATTATTGCCCCTTGAAATTAACTGGTACGGGTTCAGGTTAGGGTTACATTATATCATCGTGTCACTACTTTTGACATCAAACTATTAGCTAATTTCCTGATATAGAAGACATTGTTAATTTTTCTCCGAATATATAACTTCAAATTATGTCATGTGACTAGATGAATTTTTTACTGTACAAAAATTTATTCTTTGAATATTCAAGTAACATGTTATAATTCACAGGATTATAAGCCTCCCCTTTCATTTCGTCTCGCTTTATCTAATTTTTCTTTATATCGTTTCTTTAATTCTTCTTTACTTTTATCAGCACTAAAACCTTTTGCATTTATTGATCCAGGATTGCTTCTTTCCTGAGATATTACACGAATTGACTCTTGTTTAAAGTTGGAATGTGCAGCATTTCTAGCCTTTTCGACACATTTAGGCGAATGCGCCTCAGGATGCCTATAAGGAAAATTATTTTAATCATTGGATCTATTTCTTTTAAATCAGAATTAAAAAACTTACCGATGTGCCATACAATATTTCATATTGCAATATTGACAGGTGAAATCCATGACAGCTCTTGATGTTTTACACTTTGGGACAGAACATATTTTAGTAGTTGATGGGATTTCGCTATTTATTGTTTAAAGAATAGAAAAATTTTATTTAGAATGAGTGCATTCGTTAAGAAAACGACAAAATAAATAATCTTCTTACCTGAATATGAATTCTACTATTTCATCTAAGTTATCCTTTTTTTCATTTGTATTCGCCTTTGATTCGGTGGTAGACTTTTTATTTTTCTTCTTTTTCTTCCTTGATTTGGAACTTTTATCGTTAATTTTTTCAGAAGTTATTTTAGGATTCTCTTCAATTACGTCGTTATTTATTTCCATTATGAATATATTTTTTTTTTCTTAAAAAAAAAATAAAAATAAAAATTTTTTTAACCCGTGATGCACGATGCATGATATCAACTCCCGTGTTACACGTGTTACATGTTGCTTGGGAAAAATAAGGTAAAAGATCGTTGAGAAAATGGGACAAAATTAGTAAATGGTTTATAATTATGGTAATAGAGTCATACTGTCAATCTGTCAATCCTCATAAAAGGAACAAATAAATGTATTTAACAATCAAAAATTTGACACGATTTTCAAATTCTCCAATTTTTTCCTCTCGTACCAAATATTCAAATGGAACAAATTAAAAGGTATCAAGTTCAACTTGATAGAGAGTTGTCTAAATATCCACAAATTGTTAAAATCTCAGAACAATGTAACGTGCCCAAAACATATTTAGTTGAAGGAGTGGCTGGTTTCGTCATTTTATTGTTATTTTTTAACGTTTGGGGACAATTATTCAGCAATTTAGTCGCTTGGGGATATCCTGGTATGTATCAACTTGTATGATAAGAAGGATAATTTAAAATTTTTGTTTAACGAACATGGTGTTCTTTTATAGCGTATGCTTCTTTCAAAGCTATCGAGACCGCGAAAAAAGATGATGACACTCAGTGGTTAACTTATTGGTAAATTTAATTTCGGGATTTTGGGAAACCTTACATATAATTTTATTAATATTAATCTTATTATTTAGGACTGTATTAGGATTCATTCATACTCTTGAATTCTTTTCTGATAATATTTTATCTTGGCTTCCATCTTACTTTTTTCTCAAGACTTTATTTTTCCTCTGGTAATTAAATAAAAATATATATATATATTTTTTATGTATTTATTTATTTAATTTTTTATTTTAAAAAATTCGTTCTTTTCATTTAGGTTATTCATGCCGCAAACTAAAGGGGCACAAAAATTATATACAGGTTTCTTGAGACCAACACTTTTGACCTATGAAAAAGATGTTGATTCACAACTAAATCGAGTTAAAACTAAATATATGTAATAAATGATCAAAACTAAAATTGGTGGTTTATTGTAAAATTTTTTTCTTAAAATATATATATACTTGTGTAGTTTCTAAAGCTTTAAATAAATAAACTTTAAGATTACATCTCGTAATAATTTGAATTTATAGTTATAATTTTGCTAAGTATTCTTTTATCAATATTTACAATTTTCAACTTTATAATGTTTTCTAAATTATTTTTTTTCTTGTATTACAACCTGATGAAATTTAAAGTATGCAAAAAAAAAAAAAAAAAATTTTCCATTGGTTTAGAAGGATTTTAAAATATCTATTTTAAAATAATTGAATAAATAAAAATTAAAACGACTTTACAAAACCACACCAGTGGTGTCCAACACCAGTGGTGACTGGCACCAGTTTTTTTGAAAAAAAAAAAAATTGTAGCATTCCAACACCATATTTCAAAAAATTAAAATTTACAGAATTTACCGATATTATATGAAGGACCTTATACTTCTGTACTATAGCCTGATTGACGAATGAAATTTGTAAATTTGTTTATCCCTAGTAAATATTTGATCATAAATGCTAAAAATGCTTTTCAAAGAAGAAACACGCTTGAATTTTGCTAAAAATTTCAAAAAAAAAAATATAAAATCCATTCAGTATATACATTTTCGTTACAATGATCATTCCTGCATACCCTTTATAAATGTAATGTTTTATTTACATTTCTTTTATTTTTACTGCCCTAAGTTAGTTATATCCTTGTAATATGTTGTCATTGGCTGTAACTACGTTTATCTAATAAAAAAGTCTTACAATTAAAGCAAAATTAAATCAGACCTTATTATTTGCATATTAAAAAAGTAATCTTTATTAAGTGAGTGCAAAAAAACTAATTTATATAATAAAATTCATAAAAATTTTAAAAAAATTATGAACTACAAATTGATTTTTAAGCATGTTTGTGCATTATGACCTTCTTTGTTGCAAATTCCACATCATCTTGATTTACTTCTACTACCTTCAGCTCCTACATCTACATTTAACTCATAATCTGCTAAATAAAAAAATTGCTAATTAACATAAAACCCTATATATACCTGTATTTGAATTATCTTGTGAGACTTTTGCCACTTTCTATTTGGTAATAATTCTTTGCAATCTTCATCACTCTTTATCATTTTGATTAGTTCTTACTTACCTTTTTTTACCCTTACAATTAGCATATATATTACTTGAATTTTTAGGCTTTTGGCCTTTTGTTCTAATATTAATTGGGTTGTTAATAGTATAGGCAAATTCAGTAATATTATTGCCTTGCACAGTTTGTGTGATTTCAGATTCTATCTCCTGTTTCAATTGCTAAATTAAGTGTTTTTTCATTAACCCAAACCCTTTTCCCCACTGTTATTTTCATGTCATTTCATGATAAACTTCTTTAGTATAAACATGACACCTACAAATACTCTCTAAATGAGAAAGATTTAATTCTACTATGTATTCTATTGTACCAAACTTATCACCAGAAATTACTGAAATTGCTGTATACTTGAAAGTGTTGTATCCGCTTCCATAACTGATGCATCAGTATACCAATGTCGTGATATAAGTTCAATATGAAACTTGGCAATTGAAAATACAAGAATTGTTGCAAAAAAATAGCGGCATATAAGGCCATGATTAATTAATGTCAAGTATGTACATAAATGCATAGTGTCATCATATAGCACAATAAAATGCTTACTTTTTTTATCAATAGAAGAAATATGTCAAATTTCATTAATTCTTATTGAATCCAAACCTGCAATTAATTCTGCAAGTTCTATAACACAAGCATCAAACATTTCTTCAAAAACATGCCTTTTGGTGATTTCATAGTATTTTATAAAGAAAAAGATTAATTATCTCTAATAGTAATTATATGATGATAAATTTGATTTATATCTGTTGCTCAAGTTTATAGTCCAAATTAGTTCTATGACATCAGTAATGCATACTGCAATTCATTTTATATTATTGGAGTTTAAGAATTACCAATATTAAAAAATGTTGATATAATTTGTCAATATCTTTAAAATAATGATTATGATAATCTTCTTTACTTATAGGAAGCTTACTAATAATTTCATTTAATTTTAGATATTTACTTTCCTTTGCTAATAATTTTTCAATTTGTACATTCAAGTTCCATAAGAGATGATGATCTATTAATATTATTTTTGGTAATACCATTGTATAATTCTAGACGCTATATACTTTGAATTTCAGCATTAAATACACAATATATAAAGCATAATACTCAAGCTTCTCTGTATAAATAAAGCTGATATTGCAGGTAATTTATAGCATCAGTATATTCCTGTAATAATACAGTACACCTCTCTTCAAAAATTGATTCGACCTGACTATTATGCATATAATAAAAAGAAGAAAAGAACTTTTTCCATTTTTCACTACAATATTTACTAAGAAAATGCTTTTCCAAGTTTTTTCTAATATGGAACAAACAAAAATGATGCTTTGTTGTATGCTAAGCATTGTTTACTGCTGCAATCATTGCGAGATCAGCATCTGTATAAAATAAAGTTAGTGTTAATCCTTCTGTTGCTTTAGAAAGACTTATAAATAATCATATAAAAGTATCTTTTGTTTTATCTAACACTATTGCAAGATAAGAATGATATAATTATTAACTAATATTATAACACATAAAATTATTGAATATCAGTTTATTTTTGCTGTTATATCAAGTAAAATTACATCATGAAAATGAGCTCACAATTCCTATTAGCTTGGATGCATTCAATAGAGTCTAACAAGATGATTATCTTGATCTTCAAATCATGCATCAATATGAAATATTAGATTTTCTAACTACTGATTCATAAGTGTAAGATAAATTAAACCAGCATCACTTGTAGCTTAATTTTAATGTTGAATTATTTAAATTAAATTGTAAACATTGTAGGAATAAATATATTTTTCTGAATATTGATGTTATAAGACTTTAATAATTACATCAGCTCGTATTTTATAGGTAGTAAAAATTGTTACATCCTTACGTATTTTTAGGGTAAGTTTACGATACTATGGTATGATCATTCTAATATTCTTCACTAATTTATGATTATGCTTACCATCAATCTTTGTAATATGAATAAGATTATCTTTTTTTTATCAGTAAGCATTAATATGAAATTTACAGTTATTAGTATGACGTTCTTTATTATGATTTTTATTTATATTTGCTCTTTTTTATTGATTATATGTTCGATCTTTTGAGTACAGTCAACTCTTGTTATAGTGAACTCTTGTTATAACGAATTTTTTGAACAAATATAATAAAAATACTCTTGTTATAGCGAATTGGCCAATCAAATTTCTTAAATCTTCACTATAGCCTTATAGCGAAGTTGAGGTCTAGGACATAGAGTTCGTTATAACAAGAGTTGACTATATGCATAAATACAACATTGAGAAAAACTATCATTCTTATCTTTTTCGCTATAAGTAATTGTAAGTGCAAAATTTCGTTCTAATCCATGATTTTCCAACTATCTTAAAATTAAAATTTTTTTATTATTAATATACAAATAATAAATAATAGGGATCAAATAATAAAAATAATTTATTATAATAAAAACTTTTAATAAAAGATTATACTAATATTCTACTAAAATTAGTTTATTATATAAAAATTTATCTAACCTATTAAGATCAGCAAATCTAATTTAATCTAATCTAATTGAAATTGTGAATACACTAATATAACAAAATAACTTTTTACTTATTTGTCAAGTTTCTTCCAGTTTATAAAAGTCATTTCCAGTGCAACAGAATATAATGGCTCAAGTTTTCAATTTCTTTATTTTGTTTACATTAAACTTACTAAAAGATTTTTTTTCACTTGAAATGATTATTTGTGTATTATTAACTAAAAGGTCAAAACTGTCTTCTAAATTTTCAGCTAGATCAAAGTTATTAATACTATCACAGTCATTCTCAACTTGAAGAAATGATGTTTCATAAAAAGATATAATTATTAGTGTTTCAGAAAAAAATAATACTAATATGTAATAGGATAAAAGTATTACCAACGTGATGAAAGGATAAAGTATTACTAATGTGATAAAAAGATAAAGTATTACTAACGAGATCAACTGTGATATAAATACTGTAATTTAATAAAAATAATATAAATTATGTGATCATGTGATATAGTATTAAACACTACAGTGTAGTTTATAATTTTTGAATTAAAATATTGAATTATATTGAATTAGAAAAAGCTTTATTGTTTTGATAATTATTATAGTTATATCTAAATGTAAATTATTTAAAAATTCAAAAATTTATCTTATAATCTTTTAATAATAAAATTATAAAATATTTACTTTTATGCTTTAAATAATTTTAAAAACATTGAATTTAATTTTAAAAAATCTTAACTTTTTTATAAAGATTCTTTAATAAAAATATAATAAAATATTAATTATAATTTTTTACAAATTTTAAAATTAAATATTATTTTCATCTTCCTTTTCTTATTACTAAATAAATTTTATTATATTTTACTATAATATCTATACTAAAATTATAAGTACATAATATTAATAAAAATAAAATATTAACAAATGCTTTCTTTATATAATATACAGTATTATTATTAATTAAAAATTATACAAATAATTTCTGAAATATATTATATAATTTAATATTATTTTATTTAATAAAATGATATATTTATATTAGATAATGTAAAAAATTTTCTTTTATTTATAAATATTTTTATTTTAATTAGTCTTTTTTTTAAAACTATTTACTCTTTTAATTTTACAATTTTTTATAATATTAAAGATTTTTAAAAAATAAAGTACTTAAAATAAAAAAAATTAAAAACCTATTATTTTTAATATTATTAAATATATATAAAAAAATGATTAATATTATATATATCTAATAATTTTTAATATTCTATTATATATATTTTTTTAATTAAAAAAAATTAAGAAAATGATATAACAAAAATATATGAGAAAAAATTAGTGAATAAATATTTTAGAAAATAATTTAAAATTATTATTTGTTAATAAAAACTTTAATTGATTAATATAATACTTATTAATCAAATATTATTTTTAAATATAAAGAAAAATCAACTATATTTTAAATTAAATATTATATTATAGAAAAAATATAGTTATTAACTTTTTTTATTATAAATATTTATATAAATTAAATAAAAAATTATTATTAAATAAAATAATTTTTAATTTAATGATCATATTTTGAGAAAAATATTATTATTAGATCTATCTTAATTAAAATTTTTTAATAAACATAAGTATGTTTTTTAAAACTAATAGTTAATAAGTTATTTTAAATAGAAGAATTAATAGATAATTTTATATCATTACCAAAAAAACCATAATTTTTTAATTGTAACCTAATGTCAAAATAATAAAAATTTATAAAAATAATAGAAATAATTATAATATTATTAACAAAATTATATATTAATGTAGTTAAATAAAAATATTTAATTTAATTTGTTAATTAAATTTATAATATTTTTATAGTTTTTTAAGTTGTATTTTATTTTAAATTAGCAAACAGATTGATTAATAATTCTATATAAATAGAATAGAAATTTTTCTTAAGATTAAGTTAATTAATCAAATGTTTATATTTAAATAAAAAAGTGTTAATTAAAGCTCTAAATAACATTGAATTAAGTTTAAAAATTAACTTTATTTAATTTATTTTTTCAGATTGAGTTAAGTTAAGTTTCTCTTTATAAAATCTTTATATAAATTTTAAATTTGATATAATTTGACTTAATTTAATTTTAATTTGATTTAATATTGTTATAAATTTATTTGAGTTAAGTTAAGTTCAAATTAAATTTTAAGTCAAATTTACAGTGGTGATCATAAATTATGCAACAAAAAAAAATTTCATTAAAATGAAATATTTTTTGTAATTATAGAAATAATTAATTTTTTTATTATAATTTTAATTAATAATATTATTATTTCCTAAAACTAAAATTTAAACATGAATTAATAAGTAAATTATTTTTTAAACTATATAATTATTTGGATAATGCTGTTACATTATTTATTTTTATTTTTAACACATCTCAAATAATAATTAATAAATCCTAAATTAATATATCACAACATTATTAAAATATATTTTAAATTTGATATAATTACTATCTTATATACCCTCCCTGAGCCTTAATAATATTATGAATTCTTTTTGGCATAGACCAAATTAAGTTAGTATAAGTTTCAACATTGAATTCTTTTCAGACCTACTGTATCTTATTCCATAAATTCTCTTTATTTGAAATTTATCTAGGGAGATATCTTAACTGACGGTTAACTTCATTCTATAAATGTTCAATAAAGTTCAGATCTGAGAATTGGGATGGCCAATCTAGGACCATTACCTTGTTTCTCTTAAGTCACTGTTTTGTTGAATTTGTTATGTACTTTGGATCTCTATCATATTGAAAAATAATGTTTTTAACAGTAAAATCATATGCCCTAATAATATCCATTAAATTATCATAAAGAATTTGTTAATACAAGTTAACATTCATAATACCATCAATCTTACAATAATCATCAACACCACGAAATGTAAAATATCTTCATATTATAACTAACTTGCCTCCAAATTTTACTGTAGGTTTAATATGATAGTCTTTTATTAGTTCTTCAGAACGCTTCTAGTAATATTACTCTTATCAGAACCAAAAATCTTGAATTAATTCATCAGAATATATTACTTTTGACCAGTTCTCAATAGTTCAATTTTCATACTTTTTTGCAAAATTATATCAAGATTTTTTATGTTTTTTATTAAGATATGGTATTTTTCTTTTAATTCTTGCTACTAACCCATTATTTTAAAGTACACAATAAATAGTAGATATTGAGAAGTCAAGATTTTCTTTTTCTTGTAATTAGTTTCATACTTCAACAACTGATGAATACCTTTGAGAAGTAATAAGGTTAATAATTCTTCTTTGTGTTAGTTCATTTACAATAGGTAGATGACCTGTTCTTACTAAGTCTTCAAAAAAATTGATTTTAAGCCATCTTTTTCTAATACGAGAAACTGTAAAAGGTGTAATTTTTAAATCTTTGCTACTTCTCTAGTTATATATCTATTTTGTAATAAAGAAGAATTTGTGTCCTTTCATTAGGAGTTGTGTAATGCTTTTTTGCTACTACTTATTTATTATGTAGTTGTGAAATATCACGGGAATAAACAATAAATAAAAAAATATTTTTTTTATATAATTTTTATGTAGCATAATAATGATTATCTGATTCATGTCAAAAATAATTAAAAGTAATGTAATGCGTAATTTGTATTAATTGCATATATTTTATAAACAGAATTATTAATAGATATTAAAAATTTAATACTGAAAAATAATGGTATTAATAAATAAAAATTTATTAAAGAAGGCAGAATATCTTTAGAATTGAAAGAAATATTTAAATTTAAAGGATTTTATTTTTTTGTTACATTATTTATGATTGTCACTGTAAATTAACTTATAAATATTTAAATATAAAAAAATTTATTCATTTTTAAATTTTATTATAAATTTATTTAATATATTATTTTTATTTAATTCAAAAATAAAAAAAATAATTAAATTAAATATTATTATAATTAATTATTTCAAAAAACTATTAAAATAAAAAAATTTGTTTTTTTTTAAATAACTTTTCATTAAAATTTAAAATTATTAATAACTTTAATATAAATATAAAAGTTTAATAAAGTTTTAAATTTAAATTTATTTATCTAAAACTGTTAAAAAATCCTATATTATTTTTTTAAATAAGAATATTATAATTCATTTAATTAAAAATAAATAAATTAAGAAGCTTAAAATAATACTAAATTATTATTAATAAATATATTATTTAATTTTTACCATTATAACAAATTAGTTTTTGAAGATACAAATGAAGTATTAAGATAATATTCCATTTTATTAATATTTTTTATACATTATTTTTTAAATATATTAATGCAATACTAGTTCTTTTAAATTATTAATAATTATCTACAATATTATGTTAAGTAGAAAGTTTTCTTCATATATAAAAATAAGATAAAGATAAAGAAATAAAAGAAATAGAAGGGTATAAGATAAAATTAAAATAGTACATGTAATTAATTAATTAATAAACAAAAGAATAGTATTACTTATATTAATGCATATTTACTAGTATTCCTAATGAGTCGAGTCAAGTTGAGTTTTGAGTCAAAATTATCCTACATACCTTTAATTTAAAGTACTTATTTATTATGTGTACCTAAAATTTACAATTATGTACAATTATGCGAGTCAAATATGTGAGTTTATGCGAGTTATTTTTGGAACTTTAATATTTACTAAACAATTTATTAATTAAAATTTATTACTAAACAAGTTTATTCATATTTGTTTATATTGACAAACTACTTCTATTTATATAAAAATATTTAATAATAATGATATCATCAGCTATAAATTTGAACTAATCAGTAAAATATCAATATAATAATTTAGATTATTCTAAAGTCTTACTTTTAACTTTTATAATTTACAATATATTTTTATGTACTTTTATACTAATAAAAATCTTAAGTTGCTAAAAACGAAGATCTAATTATATTTAATAATAAACAGTTAATTTAGATAACTTTAGAACTAAAATGTATATTTATTACTTTATTTTAGAATATGATTCTTAAGATTATAAAAGAAAGTCTATTTTCAAAGACCATCAAATATAAAATCTTTATTAATGGTTAAAATAATACATTTCAAGAATATTTTGCATTTTTACCAAAACTAAAAATTTATTTTGTTTATGATAAATACATTATATTTGACTTAATTAATCTATAATTTTTGCTAATATTCTAAATCTACATGACCTTTTATTAAACTAAAAAATAATCTTATCTTAAATAATTATTAATTAAATAAAACTTCTCTCAATAACTTTATTTATGCAAATAAATCTTAGATTACACAGAAAATGATGAATTTGCAAAATTATTATATATTAATAAATAGTTATATTGAAATTTATTTGATACTCAGAATATTTTTATTTAAATTAAATATAATTATAAAAATACTTATTAATCTTTATAATGATCTAATTATTTTATTTATTTTTTAGATAAAGTAAAATAATATTTATATTCACTTCTCAAAAATTGTTAAGTTAAATAAATTAAATCTATTATAAGTAAAATAGATATAGAAAAAAAATATAAACCTAAAGATGACACATCTGAATTAAAAATAGTTAAATATGAAAAATATATCTTCTAGCTTTTTAAAGAAAATAAAAAACTAAAAAAGAATAATAAGAAAAACATTAAAAAACTTAACTTAATTTTATAAATTATTACTTATATTTAAAATTTAGTATATAATAAAGATTATTGTAATCTTAAAATCCTATTTTATAATTTAATATATTTAAAGTGATATGTTTAGATGAAAATGATATTGAGATTTCTATTATTGATTTATATTTTAAGTAATAAGGATTATGTAATCTAATTCAAAAAAATTTTAACTCTTTTCCTTTAATATTGCTACATATAATATTTATTTATTTATGTAATTATATAAATAATAAATTTTATTTGATTTATATACTCTTTATAATTTAAATATTATTACTTTACAAGAAACTAATTTTAAAACCCCTATTAATATTTATGCTTTAATATTAATTTGTACTAACCTTTCTTTTATACTGATTTTTCTACTTAGAGTATAAATTTAGTATAGATATTTTATCAAGAAATACTTATTAAATTATATTTTATCACTTTTCCTTTTATAATCATATTTTTTATTAGATTTTTAATTTAAAAATAAAATAAAATTTTTTATTATTAATATTTATATTTTTAGTTCTAATAGTTTCTTATATAAGAAGATATTTCAGAAAACTTTAGATCTAATTAATGATGTTAATCAAAATAATTTACTCATCATATTTCTTGATAATTTTAATACAAATCTATTTCAAATATACAATTCTCTAAAATTATTACAATTTTTTAATTTTATTCAATAATCTTAATTTTATTAATAATTTAAACCTCATCAAATAACAGAGAATAGTTGATAAGTTAATCACATATAAAAGTAATAATACTTATTTAATCATTAATAATATATTTACATACTTCTTATTTACTTCTAATTTAATTGATCAAGTAGTTGTAAAAGAAGATAATAATTTATCTGATTATGCTATTATATATATTTTAATTTTAATTTCTTTTATTAACCTTTAATTAGAATAATATTATAAAAACTTTAGTTTTTTAGTATCAAGGTATGTCAGTAGATGATTAAAGCATTTTTAAAGTCTTAGTAAATTATAGATGTAAACATTTAAAATTAAGCATGATGAATCTTGATCGTATTAATAATTTTCATTAATTAACTTTATCTAAGATCTTTTTCAAAAAGCTATTATCAATACTGCTTTAAAATAATTTCTAATATATTTATATTTTATTATTCACATAATTTAAAATCTTATCTTTTTAAAATAATATAAAAAATATTAAGCTTATTTATAAAGAAACTTGAAAAACTTATAAAATCTTACTACTTCTCAATAAAATTGATAATAAATAGATCAACTAATATTAAAAAATAACTTTATTTTCATTAAAATATGATATTACTTTATTAGAATTCTATTTTTTTATAAGATATTTATTAGTCAAAATAGGTGAATATATAAGATATTTATCATTTAAAAATAATTAATATATTTGATAATTTAAAATGATATTAAGAAATTTTAGTTAAATTTAATTTATAATTAAATATTTAAATATATAATATATATTATAAGTGAAGATTTAATTCAAATTTAATCATATATAAATTTTATAATAAACTTTTAAGAATCTAATTGTTATCAATAAAATAGATATCATATAAAAATAATAAACTATATATGTTTTATAAATTAAGTTTATATATTATATTTTTTTTATATTAATACTGATATATATAATATATATATTTAAAGGTATTACAATAATTAAGTTAGTTCATATATTTTGAAAATAATAATTTGATTTTATAAATTGACATACAAATTGTTGAACTGAATAATATTTTTATATGAAAGTTTTTAGTTAAAAGTTTTAATAGTTTAATATATTTCATATTATTTTGTATAATCATATCAAGAGTTTTAGATTAATTCTATTATAAAATATCAAAGTAATTATTTTTGCTATGTTTACTATACATATCAATCATTACTAATATACATACTGTATTTTTTTTTATAGTAATACAACAGTATGTTTAAAAAAATATTAGATATTTACTGATTAATACTTAATATTATTTTCATTATCTAAAAATATAATCATTATATTAGCAGAAAGATCTGAATAACATATTTGTGATTTAAAATCTTTATCAGCTATTTGAAGAGCAAAAATATATATTATCAAAAATAAAACAAATATTGTGTATTTATCTTATTGTTTGTATTTTAAATAAAATTTATATCTAATATTTGTATAAATTTATTCATAATAATTAATTAAGTAATCAGTTAAAGACTTATTTATTATTGTTTTATATATTGAAGTTATAAATTTATCAGGAATTAGCTCACATTTTTGTATATTTAGTTGAATTTAAGAAGATAATTTTTTAAAATACAAAGCTTTTTGTATAGTAAAATTATATTTTATCATCTTTCTTTATTCTCTAATTAAAATGCTTATAATTTTATAAATAATTCAGTAATATTATTTAAAAATAAAGGTTTTACATTGTTATTAATACAAATTGTCAATTGATAGTATTTATACTTTAGTTGCAAAACTCTTTTTGAATTTAAAATTAATGTCAAATATCTAAAATTAATTATATAAATTAATAAATTAATTACATAATTAAATCTTATTATTAAATTAAACTTCATAAAATATTACTTTAACTTACCTATTAAGTCTCTTAATGGAAAATAGCTATAAAAAGGTCTATAATCTAATAAATACTCTTTAAGATATAAATGTATATGCATATTTGATGTTATAATTTTTAATTTATAAACAGCTTCTACTTTAATCAAAAAATCTTTTATTGCTAAATCTTTAATTTTAATTTCTTTATGATTAATTATGGTTTTTTCCCAAATTAAAAGACAATTAATAAATAATTGCTAATATAATGATATTCTTCAGAAAGAACATCTCATAATGCTAATATTTAATAAAATAAGCATTAAGTTTTCCATTAATTTTGAGATATACAACCTATATCTGAAGGAGAAGACGTAGCATTAATAATAATTTGTATTCTTTTAAGATCATATATAGAAATTAATGGTTGGTTATCAGAAATCTATCTTTATCATTCATTTAGCAGTTCCTAAATATAAGTTATGCATAGGATCAATAACAATAACTTGTTGAATATCCATATAAGAAAGTCGAATCAAAGGTGTCTATCAAATTCCATGTTCATGAAATATTTGGTTACATAGTTGAGAATTTGCTTTTTTAAATTTATAAGCAATATATTGATGCTTTTCTCTTAAACGGTATAGAAGATTAGCAATAGTACTAAAGTTATCAAAGTTTGGTTTCCAATGACCTATACTATTATCTTGAATCATAGGAAAGGTGTAATCGTATTTATAACATCCTCTTTTTGAAGAATGACTAGAAAATCCACCAAGCTTATAATATTTATATATAATTTTAATATTTAAATATATTTGAATAAATAGTAATATTAGATTAGAAAATTTACTATCTTTCGTGCTGCAGGAGGATCACAAGATATCATGATTAAAGCTGCACGATATATTCGACCAATTGGATAATTAGGTGTTTGTGTAACTTGACCAGCCCATAATTGTTCAATATATTGATGCGATTTCATTAAATAAAGCTTTAATGCAGCAATGAAATTTGAATTTGCTTGGCCTAATCTTCAATTAGCTTTTAAGAATGTTAAAGAATCCCTTTATTAATATCAGATTACGTGAAGAAAAAAAAAGAAAAAGAACATTAAATATGATAAAGATATTTAATGCAAATTAAAGGATGGATAAGGCTGATAAATTATTTGATGAATTATTTTCAAGGAAAAAGTTATAAACATCAATAGATTATACTTTTAAGAAATAACAATTTTAACAATTAATCTAGGATCGATATTTCATTAATAAAATATAATAAGTTTTCATATTTTATTCAAATAAATTTTTGAACAGTTATTAAAAAAAAAAATATTGATGAAATTAACCGAACTAAATGATCGTTATCAGTGACCCTAACTGGATACAAAGGTTTATTCTCAAGAAGTTATTGAGGACATAACCAGAACCACGTTTGTGTTTACGTTATTAGAAGATGAATTTGATTTTTTCTTTTTTTTAAAAAAAAACAAAATAAAATAAAATAAAGAGAATTCTCGTAAAAATTGTAAAAATGTTTATTTTATTAATTCCCTTTATAACTTTATTGATTACATTATTTACGAGTAGAAAATAAACTTGAGGTGGAATTAATTGAATGTAAAGAAAATAAAGAAGAAGTTGGACAAGAAGAATAATACAATGAATCAATACCATCATTACTGCTATCACTACTATCACTACTATCACTTCTACTTTGAAGAATACTGCCTTTACTCTCATTACTATTAAAATTACATGTAGGAATCACATGTAAACTATCAATGCTAGTAAGTTTTGTAGTAATAAATTGTTTTGGATTAAAGAATTTAGGAGGCAAAGGAACGTTTGGCAATGGCATGTCAAAATTTTTATGTATATTATAAATATTAATATGTTCCTCAATGACGAAATCATTCAACTTACTAACGATACCCTTGTGATTTGTATATGACAAACCACATTTTAATAATAATTGATGAGAGACGGTAATATAACGACCATTATATGTGGGTAATGTAAACGTTGGGATATAAAAATTTATGTTTTGAATGCATTCACCATCAACTCTATTAGATTTTACCGCGAAAGGATTCTTATTTCTTGAATTTATGAAGTTAATGTTTTTTCGTGGTATAATGATTTTGCTAGAAATTTCTTCGACATGTTTGGATTCACTTTTCGTTCTAAAATCTTTTGATGATTTCAACAATATTTCAACCCTTTCCAAACTTATTCCCGGTTCTAATATCCTAATTCGAATTGGAATTGAAATGTATATTCCAATATTGATATTCTTATTGGGCGGTAATACCAACGTACAATTCAACACTGGAGGCACGGTGGCGGTAGCAATCCTACTCTCCGAGTCGTAATAAGAAGAATTATTATTGTAAAGGCTAAAGATATTTTCCCCGTGAATGACGTATGGCGGATTATTGTCGTGATTTAAAATTAATGTGTGTTTAAGCGGAATTTTAATTTCGCTAATGAATCGTTGTTTGAAAATCGTAGATAAGAAAGTTCCGTTGGTTTTCGAAATCCCATTTCCAACATTAATCGTAGTAGTTATCATGGCTTTTAGAGTATATTCGACGCTTCCGAATTCTGTCTTAATGCTATCGGGTAAATTATACGGTAATTTGACTTTAAAAGGGATCCTCATCACATCATTGGTCTCGTTGGTTCCTTTGACTAGATCTTGACCACAAGTTTGAGAAAATGATTCCATCAAACTAGTGTTCTCATTACTCGACGACTCCCAAATTTTATATACAATCTCACATAAATTATGTTCCACACCGTTACCTCTCTTACTTCTCGGCCCATTCCTGACAACCCACTTAACCTTTTCTCGCCCTTTAAATTTTAAATAAACACCGTTAATGATGTTTTCTTTTGTCGTCGTTTTCGCTTTTAACAATGACGATAATTTAAAATTTAATATTCCTATCAAATAACTATCTTGTTCTCCAAGTGGTCCTTGCTGGAATTTATATAAGTATGGATGATGTGAGAATGTTAAATTTTTATTAAATTTTATATAATCATTTATGGACGGTTCTTGGATAATATTTGGTGATTTAATAATAGGATTGTGATGTACATCATCGTTGATCGTTGTAAAATATGCTGTTGCTGGAAGTTGTAATGAATCATCATTTTGAAAAAAAGAAGTAGAAGGCATGCCCTTTTTTAAATAATAATAAAATGGTGAAATCAGAAAGAGAAAAGAAAAAAAAAAAGGAAAAAAAAAAATCCGATTAAGATTTTTGAAAAAAATACACGTATTTTTTTTTTTTTTTTTTCCTCTTTAAAAATCCTTTTGTCAAAATCGGATTGGCAATATTATAACCCAAAAAATAAAAAAAAGCACGGATAAGCTGTATAGTCAAGGAGGCTTATAAAAAGGCTTGGCGGACATCGAAATGTGATGATTTTTGCGTGGGATGATTTTAATCGGTCAAAGAAAGAACGAAATCGCACGCAAAATGACAAACTTTATCTTTTTAACATCGTTTGATTTCTCCTAAAAAAAGTTTTTATTGACTTGGAAGAATGATTTAAATTTTCAAAATGCACATTAATATGAAACGAACAGACCATGCATAAAATTAAATCTTTTGTTACACAGATTTCTAAAATCAAATTCTAATAAATCCACTTTAATCAAAAGCTCTGAAATTTAACGATTTTGATTTATGAAAATTTACGTCAATTCGTCACGTATTTATAATTTTATACAAGAAATTTTAAAATTTTCTGATAAATTATTATGAAAATATATATATAGATATAGATATTTTTATTCGTCAAACATCATTTCTTCACTTTTTATTTGGTATCCGTTAATCCAATCTAATATTGAAACTTCTCTTTTCCCTTCAACTTTAACACTGTTAAATGTAATAAAACTATTACCGGCACATACTACATAAGCCACTGGTGATGATTGTTCAAGATGGCGAATTAGTATTGTACCAGGGCGAAGAGTTTTACCTGGTTGGGATAATAATTGTTGCTGGGACAAAGAAGGTAATGAAATATTATGTAACTGGATGATTTTATTATTAAATTTGGTTGATAACGAGTACTTTAAAATAATAACAATAATAATAATAAACATTAGTTTGATAAAGGATCAAAATGCATCTATAAAAATGATTTCTTTTTACCTGATGAGAAATAGCACGATCAAGTTGTTCCAATTGTTGTGCAGATATATGTGACCATTTAATCTCGCTCATTTCTTTCCTAATCTTTGGAGCTTTGGAAATTTTTAATGCATCTTGTTCTTTCGCGTTGTCTTTATGATAGTCGAAATTTTTTAATGTGTCGATTAATAATTCTGCTCCTTTTGTTGCGAGAAGGGATTCAAGTGTATTATAAGTCGAATTTGGGGGAACATCCTAGGAATTAAAGTGTGTTAATCGGATTAAAGTAAATTGGGAGTAGATTTGCACGTGACGTACAATCGTAATTTGTCGTAGTACTTTTCCTGCGTCAAATGTTTCGTGATGTAATTCTTGGATTGTGATTCCCGTTATTTTATCATTATTTAATATCGTGTATTGAATTGGTGATGCTCCTCGATACCTTTTAATTATAAAAGAGGTCAATTGGTTGACTTAAAATTAAAAATTGATTTGTTACCTACTTTGGTAATAATGATGGATGGACATTTATTGTGCCTTTAGTAAATGATTCTAAAATCGAAGGGGTTAAGAAATATCCAAATGAAACCACTATGGCGAAATCAAAATTTGATTTTGGAACCTTTTTATAAAAAAAAAGAAGAACCGGTGTTCTGAATTACTAGTTTGTACAACATTTAAGATAAATGGTCTGAATTATTTATTCCTTTTACCTCCCATCCTTCTAATGATTTTGGAGGCGCTTCATGAATTTTCAAGTCATATTCTTTAGCGAACTTTTTTACGGGACCTTTAAATAAAACAAAGTTTAATAATTTATCAATTACTTTATAAACTTGGTAATTCAATAAATTATATGTACTTGTTGCTAACTCTTTGTAACCTCTACCGGTTTTTTTATCGGGTGGAACTACCGCTTCGATGGACTTTACAAAAGTATCCGGATTTTCTTTTATTCAAAGAAACATTATTAAAGTAAATCACAGGTGAATTAGGTATTATTGTTTTTAAAAATCAAAGAATTTCATACTTGATTCATTTATTAAAGCTTTTAATGATGGCACTGAAAAATTATCCGAACCAAAAAATAATATTCGATAAGTTTGTTTTTGATTTAATCTTTTCGTGGTGTTGGTAAAGAATGATTTGATTATATTCCTTTTATTAAAATTAAAAGTAACATTTTGAAATTTTTGTGAAAGTATCATCATCATCATGATGTAAAATTAATTATTTTTAATTCCCGATTTTTATACTGAATGATGATCGACACATGATAAGTCCGCTTTTTCATGGAAGTTAATTTTACCTGGTCAAAGACTTGTGATGTTCATACACACGCGCATGACGATGTAGAAAATCTCGAGAAAATTGGCGATTTGAAAACCAATAAGGTTTGCTTAATGGGAACACGTTTAGAAGATTTGGACGTAGTTTCCAAGCTTGCCACAGATTTTCAAGAAAAGGTCATTCCTTGCTTTGGTATAGTTAAATATATATATATATATATCAGCTTTCTGCTACATTAATTTTAAAATATTTTTATTTTTTTTCTTTAAATAAAAAAAAAAAAAAGGATTTCATCCATGGTTCTGTCATTTACTTTCACTCGAGGATGAACCTTCGGAAAGTAAAGATCATTACCGAACAATTTTAAAGGATATTGGGCCAAAAGTTCATTCAAGAAGTAATTATTTGGAGGAATTTATTAATACTTTACCGCCTCCTACATCATTTAATAAATGGCATAGAAAATTAGAAAATTTGCTAGAAACGCATCCAAATTCACTTTTAGGTGAAGTTGGACTAGATAAGACATTTCGATTACGTGACCAAGAATCAAAACGTCTTAGCCAAGCCCAAACTACATTACAACATCAAATAGCAATTTTCGAAAAACAATTGGATTTGGCAGCCAAATACAACCGTGCTGTTAGTATGCATTGCGTTCAATCTACGGGAGCAATAACTCAACTGCTTAATAAAAGAATCAATGAACAACAACCACTTCCACCTCGTTTATGTATACACTCATTTGGAGGTTCCGTTGATACAATTAAAGCTTTGGTTAAACAAACAAAGGGAACTTCATTAGAACTTTATTTCTCTTTTAGTATCGTTATTAATGATAGAAATAGTAGGTTACCTGATTTAATTAAAGCAGTCCCAGAGGACAAATTGTTAATTGAAACGGATTATCATTCTCCTAAAGGATTAGATTATTACATGTTAATGATCATTAAATTGGTGAGCGAAGTTAAAGAATGGACTGAAACAACGACTGTCGAAAAAACGCGTGAAAATTTCATCAAATTCATTGGAAATTGAAATCTTATTGGGATAATGGACAAATTTAAATGAATACTTTATATGTTATAATCTCTTTTTACAATTTCATCAAATTTGTTTTTATCAGTCACGAAATATCTCATATAATCAGCTTCTAGGACGTGCATTCTATTTCCTACGATAACAAGGGAATGCAATGGAAGGCCAAAATCTTCGGATAATAATTGACTTAATGTACCAGCTTTAATTAGTTGCTCTGTAAGAGAACCAAGACGCGCGATTCCTATTGCTAAAGTTTCCGATGTGTAAGCTACAATTCAAAAGGAAATTTGAGTGAATAACAAAAGGAAAATTCAAACAATAAAATATATTATGACTACCATTTTCTTTTCTTTGTTCTTCGATTTCTAATAATTGTTCAATTGCTTGATTAACGTTCATATATCGTGGGGGTTCATATATCTTCTTACCTCTAAATAAGAATGAGAAATATTAATTTCATGAATAAAAAATGAAACATTTGTTCAAAGAATTGTACCTTGCTAGATTTTCTATACTTTGTTCCTTTACTTTAATATCTAATAAACAAAGAGTATGTAAACCCAAATTTCTATTTTCTTTAATCCTATCATAAAAACTATCAGGCCTCCAATTATCAGTAAAAAAAGGTATAGAAATAGTTTGGCCAAAATTATATAATTGTAATCCACAAGCGCCAACTGCATTCATTATTGAAGCATTGTGTATTGTTTGAATGGGAATTGATAATTCTTTTGCTCTTATAATTAAATCTGCATGTGTTGTTGCACTATCCATATAATTTCAAGGGAGAATTAATTTTAGAGATTTTTATATTATCTTTAAATTTTTAATAAAGAAAACGAAACATACCCAAATGGATCTCCTACCACCAAAAATGCTACATTTTTTTTATCAGCATTTAATAAAATTTCATCACTTTGTGATTCCACCATTTCTCTGTCTGCTAATATAAGTTCCTTTCCATAAAATTCTTCCTGATAAAAAATTTAAAAATAAATATCTCCGGTAGCAATTATTTCAAATGAAATCAATGATGAAATTTACCAATTTCTCTTTGGATACCATTAAGATACTCGTATACGCTTCTAAATATACCCGTTCACATGATTTAATTGCTTCAAAACCTTTAATCGTTACATCTTTTTCATCCGACAAACCCAAACCTATTATATAAAGCATTTTTTTTTTTTTTTTTTCAAAAAAAGATGAGAAATACAAACGTACAAACGCGATATTAATTAAGCAAATTTATCATGTTTTGGACACCATGGTAGTACAAACATAGTAATACCATTTAAAATTTAACGGTAAAAAAATGAGATTTCGTAGAAAATAAGAGGAGGAGATTAATTAGTAAATTCATGCCGAAATTTCTTGGATTTTATGTTAATTCAAAATTTTTTATTTTGGTTTTTATTTTTTGATTTTAGATCACAGATCACAATATCTTGTTTTGAGCCTTGATTTTTTTCGTTGGGTAAGTATAATTCCTAATCCTTCATCTGAGACATCTGTTTGAATGATAAATGATTTGCTTAGATCAGGTTAAATGAGAACTGGGACTGTAATCACCTTAAACTTTAATTTATCGAATGAGTCTTGATGTTGTGTCGTCCAATTCCAAGATGTACTTCTCTCTTTATTAATAGTAAACTTTTTCATAATAATATTTACATTTTTGAAAAAAAAAAACAAAAATTAAAAGGAAATAATCAAGCTTATATATGTTTTATTTATAAGAATTTTCTTTTTATATTATTTATTATCATTATTTATTATATAATGTTGTATTTAAATATTACTCTAAATATATTAAAATTTTTATAATAAAAATTCAACGTTGATTTTTTATTGATTAAAAATATTTCGCCATAATCTATTAATACTTTAAAGTTTAAAGAAAGTTTATTTCTAATTTTAAGAAGATTTGTATAAAGATCTAATCTTATTACTTCATCTTTAACAACTATTTAAATACTTTCAATTTACAATAATAAAGAAGTATATAAAAATTTTATGTTTATATTAATGGTATTATTACACATATAAATGAATAATTTTCTTTATTTTATTATAAACATAAGAAATTTCATTTTATATATTAGTAAAATAACTTTAAATATTTTTAAAAGTAAAAATAAATTATATTTGAATTAATCTTTTATGATAATAAGTATCATTTATATAAATATCAATTTTATTATATTTTCTTTAATTGTATTATTTAATTAATTAAATAAAAATTCAAAAAATTTATATTAAAAGGTAATTATACCTAGCAACTCTTTTTCTAAATTATTTAATTCAGTTTAGGTGGTAACATTTAAATTATGGATTTTTATAATAATTATCTAATCAGATATAATATTAAACTTTTAACAATATTTAGAATATTATTTCAAGTTTCAATATTAAATCTTATTATTCTTAATTTAAAGATAATTTTATAATTGAATTATAAAAAAAATAAAAAAAATAGAATTTAAATAAACTTACTATATACTTTATTATAAAAATATATATTTTAATCTATATAATTATAAAACATTGTAAAATTTTGATTAAATATAATAAAAATTACTTTAAAAATTAAGGTTTTTAATTTGTAATTTAACTTAATTCATTCATTATAAACTTAATTAAAATAATATTTTAATAAGAATCTAAATATTATATAATAATATTATTTATTCAAAATATCTAAGATAAAAATAAAATATTCTTATTTTTTATAAATTTAATAAATGTTTATAAATATATTATATTAAAATAATTATATTATTTAAAATTTTTTATAAAATATTTTATATTTGTTATAAATATAATATAGCCTATTAAATATAATTTATAAAATTTTTATATTTTAATAATAATATATTAATAGTAAGAATTTAATTTTAAAATCTATATTATAAAGATTATATTTAATATATATAACATAAATTTTTTTTTATAATTTTTTTACTTTTTATTATAAATATCTATATTTATATATATTAGTAAGAAATAAATTTATGCAATTTTTAAAAATTAAAAAATTTTATTATCAACACAAACTTTTAAATTCATTATTTCTAAAAAATTTTTATATTTAATAGCTAAAGATTATTATTTTTAATAAGAATTTCTTTTAAAACTTTATAACTATAATCATTAAATAATAAAAATTAACTATTTTATTTTTTATTGCTTAATAATATATATGCATTTTCATATTATTTAATTATTTTCTGATTGTAAACTTTGAAATATTAAAAATTTAAATAATATTTACTTTTATAACTACTTTTAAGTAATCTAATTATTTATTATATTCAATAGTAAGTTTTAAATTTTTACTTATTTTTTAGAAAACATGTAGTAATTTATATTTAATATAAGTTTTTTGATTTTTATTTTTATTTGTTTTTAATGTAAATAATAATAAATTCTTAAAAAATCAGTATACAGTCAACTCTTTCTACAACGAATTTTGATATAACGAATTTTACAATACAACGGATTTTCAGTG